GTGCTTTATATATACATCTCTATGGTATGGAGTGTATAGAACACTGTATTGCGTTACAGCCCCGGGGTTGCCCCGGGGGGGTGAGGGGCGAAAGGGGGGGGTTTCGCAGCGCCGAAGGTGAGAGGAGGTCGGGGGGGACCACCCTCCCGCTCCCCTAAAACGGGGAGGAGGGGGGGAACCCTCCCGCTCCCCCAAAACAGGGCCCTGCGCTCCAGAGGGTGTGTTTGAAAAGAGAGGTGTGGGCGCACCTCGGGGGGGAGTTAGAGGCTTCTTCCTTATTGATTCATTATTATTATTAATATTAATATTATTACTATTATTACTACTATTATTATTCTTCTAAATTTTGGTGGTTCTTTAAAAAAACACACAGCGGTGCCTCCCGATGCCCACCCCACCCACGGGCCCACACGTGTGAGCGTACACACGGCTGGTTTCTCCCCACTAGTGCCCGTGGACACCCCTCAGCAGAGGAATTGAAGTGTCCCCCCCCTCCTCCCGGGGACCACGCGTGGTCCTGGCAGACCCACAGCGGTCACGAGTGGCCGAGGTCTCAACCTCGTCGGAGCCTCTCGAAAAGAGGGGAGACTTTTTCCCCGGGTGGTGGGAATTCAGAAACACACAAACACACACACACACACCCCCCACGTGTGGAAACAGCGAGGGTTTGGCTCTGGGCGTGGGGAAGGTGGGATGGAGTGGGGGAGAAGGAGAGATGGAGAGTGGAAAAAGAGGGATGGAGGTGGGATAAAGAGGGATGGAGGTGGGATAAAAAGGGATGGAGGTGGGAGAAGGAAGGATGGAGAGGGAGAATAAAGAACGTAGGGTGGAAAAGGAGGGGTGGAAGGTGGAAAAGGAAGGATAGAGGGGATGGATAGAGCATGGAGAAAGAGGGATGGAGGGGAGAAGGAAGAATGGAGGGTGGAAAAGGAGGGATGGAGGGGGAAGAAGAAGGGATGAAAGGGAAGAAGCAAGGATGAAGGGTGGAAAAGGAGGGGTGGAGTGTGGAAAAGGAAGGATCAAGGGGATGGATGGGGGGTAGAGAAGGAGGGATGGAGGGGAGAAGGAAAAATGGAAGGTGGAAAAGGAGGGATGGAAGGTGGAAAAGGAAGAATGGAGGGTGGAAAAGGAGGGATGGAGGGTGGAGGAGAAGGGACGGTGTGGTAGAAAGAGAGAAGGGAGAAGGGTGCTGCCCCCCCGATTGGTTGCTTAAGCACAAAATCCGGCGCTGGGTTTGGGGGG